CTCTGCCGCTCCAAAAGAAACGGCGTTCAAACGGCGCAGGACGCGTTTCCGCTGCTCTATTCCACCTTCAACACCGAGTACGTCCCAGTCTTTGGTCCGGCGAGCACCAGCCCCAAGACCCTCGGCGAACTGGCCGGTTCCCCCTTGGCCCGGGGAAACGAAAGGCAGGTCCGATGGTCTCCTAGACTGGTGGATGAAATAGATCCCCAGAACATGGAGACGGTTTGTCTCTTCACTTCTTTGGGGGTTGGATGAATCAAAATTCTACATGACTCCAGATGACCCGCGAAGTCCCAAGACCCATGGGAGTTTGACCTGGTGCAAAACACACATTTCTGTCAACCCATGTTTCGGTATGACCAGATCCAGTAAAATGAGATCTTTGAGCCATAGCGACCGCTATCCTTGTGCATGTGCTTGTGTGTTTGCACATACAAAAAACAATCCAATTTGTTCAATCCATTTATTCCCTCCCACATCTCCCACATCTCTTCGTTTGGCTCTTGGGATCATCGCCCAAAAACCCTCCTGGCTGCTCCTGGCGCCCAATGGGCCAATGCACCGGCTTGAAGGTGCGATTGGCCAATTCAGTCCACATTATACTTGGAACATTTTTATGTAATGGTTGCTCCGGAGGATGCCAGTGCAGTATACCTCAAAACAAAGCGTGCGCCCCCCACAAACAGGCCTTGCGTACTTAAAGGGTGTGGTTCTTGCAGTGGAAGAGCCTTGCATGTTGGTGGCATCGAGTGGACATATCTGCTAATTATCGTTTTGAATGTGGATAGAAATGTCCTTTGTGCCACTTTGACCCACAGCCAACAACCCCACACGACCAACCCATGCCCAAGACCACAACGGCGGGACCGGTATAGGCTGGTATAGGCTTTGACAGTGACCCCATCACGTCCCTGCCACCCTGCCAGACCTCATGACCACGACCATTCCATGCAGCATCATAGTCTCATAGAGTTTCCCATGCCCAACAGCCAAGAATTATGGCCACACAAGTATGGCCACACAGCGAAGCGGTCGTCTGTTGGGCAGCTGGTAGATCTTTTTTTTGGGTGACCTAAATGAATCCTGAGTCGTCCTTTTTTGCTGTCGTGAGGATCCCTTTCAAATACTACACGTCCCTCTATTGGTTCGTGCTGATGGCCTTCGGGGACACGATCAGCCGCCGTGTTCCCCAGTTCTTGCACCTGCGCACCTGGCGCTCCTGGGGCCTCTGGATTGTGATCTCGATCATTTTGTGCATCGGAGGTGGAGCGGAGCTGGGACTAGCAAAAGTGGAGGGCTTGGATGGATGTGAAGATGTAGTAGTACTAGTAGTAGTAGTAGTAGTAGTAGTAGTAGTAGT